ACAACTTATTTCAAAAATGTATTAATGTGCGATTACATAGAGGTGTTCTTACGATAAAATTTTGTACACATGTATAAATAACTACATAAATGTAGAAATTTTCAGTGGCGGCCTCAAACCGATTCTAAAGAGTGAAACACTTATCATGTATAAGGCTAGTATTACATTTGTCGTACGACAATGATTTTAAGTACATTGATTGGCTATCAAATACAGTTCTTTATAAAACTCTATCTGATAGCCAATCAACATACTTAAAATCTTTGTCGTACGACAAATGTAATACTAGCCTAACACGGTTTTGCGTTTTTTTCTCGATGTATCTCGAAAACTATTAAAGATATCAAAAAATGTTTTAAATAAAAGTTTTATGGGAAAAACACCTCTATTTACCTACATTAATAGAATTGTTAAAAAAAAGTATTTTTTATAATTTTGTTACACAATTTTTTTTTAAACTTTTTTTTTAAATTCTATTAACATAAATAAATAGAGGACTTTTTTCTATAAAATTTTTGTATAAACTATTTTTTAATATCTCTAATCATTTTCGAGAGAAATTGAGAAAAATNAAAAGCCGCTCTACATATGAGAGGTGATTTCATCCCTTAAAACCGTTTTTTAGCAGCAACGGAAAATATCAATACTCATCTATTGACCTCCNTTACATGTGTGCAAAGTTTCATCAAAATCAGAATTTTCGGGTTCGCGAGGTTCCCTTGTGAGTTATCCTCACCTTTACCTCTCCCTTCTGCTTGTGCGAGCTTTATTGCATGCGTGCTTGTTTTGCTAAAAGTGAGTATCCTTTTATTCTTAATATTTTTCATATAAGAGTTGAAGTTTGCATTACGGTTGGCTTATTGCGCTTGGTGCCTGGGGGTAACCTCAACGGGCGCTTCCCGCCAAAACCTTTCTCTTTGCTTAGAGCTTTAGTTTACTTTTTTTTCGGTTTCCATCGGTTAGTTAACCATGGAAACTAAGTTAGGAGACAACGTTTCTTCTCAGGAACCAGTTTTAGTCGAAGGTAACCCGCCTTCGTCTCCTGGTAGTAAGACTTTCGGGCAAGTAGACGCCCGAACGTCTCAGTCTTTGCATGTGGTAGCCAAAGATGGTGCAAGTACGCGTCTTGCAAAGAAAAGACACTCTGTGGAGTCTCCTTCTCCTTCCAAGAGGGCCTACTCCCCTCTGTCAGAGTCCCAGAAGGCCCTGACTCTCAATAGGTATGAACCTGAGTCGTCGGGCCCTTTCCTCGTGCATGTCGAAGTTGTCGAGAGTACCCCTGCCACTTTTGATCGCGGGGAAGTAAGCAATCGTAGCGTGATTAGTGTCTTGGGTCTGGGTAAGCAGCTAAACAGGCTTATGTGTGAGCCGTTTCAGCATGCCTATGACCTTAAGACTGTCGGGAAAAATAAGTTCTGGTGGTTTTTCCTAGCTGGTCAAAAGCTAACTGTTTTGTAGAACTCTTCCCTACTGTGAGCGAGGCAATCACTCCTGGTGGTTGCTGGTACGCTTTTATCCCTAACTTCCAAGTCATTAAGCAATATATCCTAAAAGGTATTGACGATGATGACACTGAGGAAGATGTGATGACAGGCGTTAAGTCCCTACCCGAGTGGGGGGTTTCGTGGACTCCTCCTTTTGAAGTGGTCAGACTTCAACGCAGAGTTTATGGAGAACCGGGCACTTTCCCGTCTCTTGTTAATACTAACAGCTATCTTCTACGTTTTAGGACCAAGACTGTTCCGCAGTCTTGTATTTATATGGGTAAGAGATGTTTTCTCCAACCCTATATCTACAAGGTGCGCAGGTGCAACTTTTGCCAGAAGCTGGGCCACGTGGAGTCCTCGTGCAAACAGGTCACCTCTGGTAAACGACTCTGTGAGAGATGTGGCAAGTCAGGCCACTCAAAGTCTGACTGTGTCAGCAAGGACTTTGAATGCATTAATTGCGTTAGACTCAAGTACAGTGACTGTAAACATCAGGCTTCGGATCCAAAGTGCCGCGCCTATTTAAGACAAAAGAATATTCACAAACTTATGGCTACCAAAGATTTGACATACAAGGATGCGTCCGCTCTCTTAGACAGGGGCCGCGTTAGCCCTACTCAAGATGCTTGGAGCAATAATTCCTCTGTGCCGTTTCCTACCTTCGGAGAGTTTCTCCCGGGTACGTTTAACTTCTCTTGTGCTTCGGGACGGGCGGATATGACTGATACACTCGGTTACAATCGATCCACGGCTCTGGGAGGAAGTAAGCAGGGTGAGTTTGTTTCTTCTTCTTTTAAGTTTAAGGACAAAAATAAAAATAGTAGTAGCTCCTCGTCAGCAGTGACCTCTAGAAATAGCAAGAGCGGTTCTCCTGCTTCTCAGGCAGCTACAACGCTCTCAAACGCATCTTTCTCCAATTTAAGCATTGACTCGAATAAAACTCTTTCCAACTCTGAAAAACCTAGCCTTTCTTCCACTAAACACAAGGGACTTCCTACTCCTTCAGTTTCTAAATTACTACCATATCTCCGCAACTCTCTAAATATCAAACAATCCTCTTCTTTCACAGACGCTGAACTAGAAACAATTCTGAACCTCGCAGTAGAAACAGTTACTAGATCTGTGATCATGTAACTGACGAAATGTAACATAACGCAATATTACATAATTATTACAATTATTATTATTAGTTAATATAATATAATACATTGTACATGTAATACAAAGTAGTTCCGTCCATCTCACTCTTTTCTTATAACCCCCCTTCTTTTGTTCACTGAACGAAACAGATAGCTTTTACAGGTCAACTGAACGTAATGCAGTGGAACTGTCGTTCCTTAGTAAGGAAACTTGACGAGCTTAAACATCTACTGTGGGAATGTGACATACATGTTGCAGCTCTGTGTGAAACAAACCTTGATCATCGTTCGTTGGTAATGTTTCCAGACCATGAGGTTGTATCTGTGGATCGTAACCGACATGGTGGAGGAGTTGCCTTGGTAATTGCCAAAAACATTAAATTCCAACTTGTCTCTGACTCAGATATTACTGATTTGTGCAAAGCAAATTCAGTTGAAGTTATCGCGCGTAGCCAAGTTAATGTTACCTAGTAGTCGGTTTCTTTACGTCTTTTCTGTGTACAGCCCTCCTTGCAAGTCGAGTGCGTACACTGACGTTAATTTCTGGTCTTCTTTTCTTCAGCTGAGCTCTACGTTTGAATCAGCTCTGATTTGTGGAGATTTTAATGGAAAAAGTCCTTGTTGGGGTGGCCCTTTGACACACACAGATGTTGAAGGACGCAAGTTGGAACTAGCCATCACTAATTCTTTCTGGTCGATTTTGAATAACGGCGACAGAACGTGGTCTTCATCTGACCTTTCCAGTGAAGCGACGCTAGACATCACCTTGACCTCTCCTGAACTGGCCTTAAACTGCCAGTGGAGAGTGGATGAGTGTAATCACGGTAGCGACCACTTTCCGGTGTATGTCAGTGTGTACAACAGATATACGGGCTCTATTCCTTGCCGTCCCTACATATCTTTAAAAGCAGTCGACTGGAACGCCTTCCAACAGTCTTGTGTTCAATTTTCTCAAGAATACTCTTCAAATATGAATAAAATTGTTGCGGAAAACGGTGTAGATGCCACGTATAATCACTTTACTCGGTTGATCTTAGACAGTCTTGTCGCGTCTGGCGCTAAAGTCATTAGTTCCTCTCGCCCTTCCCGAAAGCCGCCTACACCTTGGTGGGATGACACATGTTCTCGTGAAATCCAAAAAAAGAGGAAAACGTTTACCATCTTCAGAAACCACCCCTGCCTTGCCAATCTGTCGTCTTACATCAAAATCTCCAAGGAAGTGTCACGATTTCTGCGTACAAAGAAAAGGAAGGCCTTTCGGTCCTTCTGTAGCACCTTGCATGCACGCTCAGATGTTGGCTCAGTCTGGAGCACTGTTGAGGCCTTTTTCCATGCTAGGAACTACTCGCGTTCTGATAACAATAGGAATAATATAGATATGAACAGTTTCTATGCTACGTTTGATAAAATTGCTCCTTCATGTCAGACCCCTGTACCTGATCACGCCAAGCTCTTGGAGTGTGTCTCAGCTGTGGCAGGCTCAGTGGATAGTTCTGTGCTCTCTGCGCGTGTCAGCTTAGAAGAATATCTTTCTGTAGCTGACTCTGTTAAAATCAAGTCGGCTCCTGGCCCAGATCTTCTTTCCAACGAAGTCATTTCCCACTTTCCACTTGTGTTACACTCCTGCTTCTGCAAGTTGTTTAACATTATGTTAGAGTCTGGGGTGTATCCTGCTCAGTGGCAAAACTACTTTGTAGTGTTTATCCCCAACCGGGAAAGAAAGGAGCGTATCGCCCTATTTCTCTGGCCAACAACTTGATTAAGTTATTGGAAAAGATAGTTCAAAGACGCATGGAGTGGTGGTCCGAGCACAACAACTTAGTTGCTCCTTATCAATTTGGGTTTTGACGTGGCTTGTCTTGTATAGACAACTTGACTATTTTCATATCTTATGTGAAA